GAGATGTACACACCAAGCTGTTTAAGCATCTCTCCGAGCGGCGATACGTACAAGTGATATAGCCATGTGGATTATACAAGTAGGTGCAGCGGTTGCATCATCATTCCATGTGCGGTTTCATACGTACGACGGCTGGTGAACTGGACCGCTGTCCTTCGACCAAGCCAGGTGGGTTTGGTCAGATTCCCTGTGATCCGAAGCAGCCAAGCCGCCTGGAAAAATGACAAAATATGTCCAGTAGTGATCGATTCCATTTAAAACCAAAAAGGGAAAAATGCAAATGGGAGTTGCTGTTTTTAACAAAAGAACATGGAAAACCATGGAAAACCATGGAAAACCATGAACAGCCATAGAGGAACATGGACAACCACGAAAAATCTCTGGGGCCCCGCGCGGAGGCCACGGCCCAACGCCCGGCCTTCTCACAAGAGCTCAAGGCCTAAGAGACGACTTCGGACCCGAGCCGATCCATCTTGCGAGGAAACCAACCTCACACACAAAAACAGAAAACAACTAAACCATGGCGAATTAGCGTCCATTGGGGATTACACACAAAAACAAAAAAAGAAAAGAACAACAACGACCACAACTAAACCATGGTCAATTGTGGTCCATTCGCGATACCCAGAAAGAAAACAAAAACAAATGAACCATGGTCAACTACCGCCCATTAGGGATTGCCAACCACACGGAAAAACCCTCAAGCATGGTATAACCAGGGGCAATTCGAGTACATTAGGGATGTCCCTTGCTTCCTTACTTGCAATATGGCAAGGGCATCCATCGTATGTTCGGGGAAACCAAAGGGAGGCGGACGGATGGGGCTCGCCCAAAGAAAAGTTGAAACTCACCATCCACAGGGCCAAAAAAGGTCCTTGCAAACAAACATGCGCATATTATATATCCGCACGTATACAAACAGAAGCCTGTTATATCTTGGCCAAAACGCGAGACAGCGGGTTCAAACACAGCTCTGATGATTGCTAATGGGCGCCAACATCTTCTGTGAGACCAATGCAGGGGAGGCAAGCCAGGAGAAAAGACCCGTCCCAACTCCTGCGGCTGGGAGTTCCCCTCTGGAAAAAACGAAGGACACAACGGCGGCAAGGAATGGTGGGTGAAACCAGTCGTGTAATACCGCGTGTGCACCATCCTCCTAAACAGCAAAGTGCAGATGTCATTTGTGTGACGAAGCCTTTCTGAACTTGGGGTGCTCGCAGTCACGCACGGGTGTGCTAAAAGAAAGGTGAACAGGTCAAAAGATGGGCAGAGCTCGTCATGGCCCACTGGAGTAGCAACAAACTCCTAGGTTCAGACTCTTGCTTAGCCCACCCTATGGGACACATTTGGAGGAGACAATAGCCTTGGAGGTCCCAAGCCCAACCCCTCCATTTGATCCAGGGCCACGGAGTTGCAGAGGATGGTGTCCACGTGAAGGCGTGCCCTTGGCAGCTCCTCCAGTACCAGCAGCGCGCTGGACCACTCAGCGGCCTTCTCCAGGCAAGTCAAGGCCTTGGAGCTCGGAACGGGCCCCAACAACCCGAGTGTCCCGCTGGGTGCTTGTTGTGCTGAGGGCATCCTAGTGGAATTTGCGCATTTCCCGCCATCTACTTGCACGTTGGCTGACATCATGCAAAGCAGTCGAGAAATGAAACGGGGCTGCGGAACTGGCACAAAGAGGGCTGCTCACGAATGCCCACTGGAATGGCTGGGTACATTTGGGGCAACATGTGTCTGTGCATACTTGCGATCAAGTCATGCGACGCGTCTTTTTAGTGCTTTGCAACGTGGCTGGACGTTTTAAACATGGCTTTGAAGTTCGTTCAACGGTCATTGCTCAACAACTAAGTCTGACTCGCTGTTAGTCATGTAGCAGTCCAATGCTAGTGAGTCCCCCCCTTGCCTCTCACGTGCAAAAAGCTCTGCGGCATGATGGCTCGAGTTTCCCTCGCCATTCTGCAAACGAAACCAAGCTGTAGACAATGGAGAGGACAACAGCATTCTGCTGGGTCGCGCTTGGTGGGATCCCTAAATGTCGCAAGTGCGCCAACCACATTCACCCAGCCATGGTAAATGGCGGCAATAGGGGGAACAATGATTCCTAGCATGTGTTTGAATGACTGCTTAAATGCCAACCACTCAGACCCTTGTGTCAATTCACGGGCCCCAGCCACCAGCCGTTGCTGCGGGAGGTGCCGCGCAAAAGGTGAAGGAGTTCGGCGCCGCGTAAGAAGCGCCGTGGAAGTCGCCAAGGGCCTACGACACGACCCGGCCAAACTGGACCAGACTTAGACACTGGACCCTAGATTTCCTGTCCAAAAGTTGCGATTGAGTGGTGTTTTTCACTGAAAGTGCCGCTTTTGGAGGTGCCCACCCTGCAAAAAGCTAGCTTTTGGGCCGCGTCCGCATGGTTGGCAACACTGCCGGACTAAAGTCGAGCCAGCCAGTTCCTAACGCCGAGAACGAGAGCGAATCGCCCGAAGGCGACTTGCGGAATGAATCAAGCCGCCGTGGCACGCGAGTGCAGCGTGGGCGAGGAGAGGCGGCAGGCAGGTTTTGAGTAGAAGAGCAGTAGACATGTTGGTGCTGTTGGCGCAAGTGAAGTAGTGGTCAAGTAAGAAGGCACGAGAAAGGGGCATGGCTCCAAGCCTTGTCGCTAACTTCGAGCCAGTTAAAAGGAAAAATGCTGGAAAACCAAAAACTTAAAAAGGATGTTCTATCTGGCAATGGGGGGGGGGGGGGGGCGATTCCAGTTCTCCAGTCGGCACACCACAAAAGGAACAAAAGGATATGCTGTTATTGAGCATATCCTGCCTGGCACCAACTCAAAGCGAGCCCCCTACAGCAAAAGGCGATATACTTCCATTTGCAGCGCCGTGTGTAAAAACGCTGCTTGGCTATGGCGCGCAAAGGGTTTGCGGAAACCACTTTGCATTTGAAGGTTAAACAATCACAACCACCAACATACACATTTTCTGAATCTGTACCTGGCGTGTTCCATTGCAAGTAGTTTGGCCCCAGGTCAAGCGTACAAGCGTTGAGACAACAAGCATCCTGATTCGCCGAACCTACCCCAGCAACAAGCAAGAAGCGGTGACCCCTTGTCACTACAACTCGGGCCTGGCACGTGATGGGACGTGTATTCTCAACTCTTTTCATACCCGTACGCCACGGGATTCTCCAGAAATGGCCTTCGAAAGGGAACCTGCTACCCCTCCAGCTTTGTCGCAAGTGTTAGTTTGAGGTTGAGATCCGCGCTTTCAGCTTTCGAACGGGGTGAGCACTTGGGCCACTCAAGATCACTCAAGGCTGAGAGAGAGACAGTAGGCACCACCATCGTCGTCAGTTAACCCATGAGGCTAAGAGGAAGAATGGCAAGGTTGATGTGGATGGCGCTAATCACAGTTCCACTCACATGGAACCCAGCAGAAGTCCCTTCCGAGGCACGTGCTTGACGCCAGGAAGTCTTACTTCCCAGGTTCCATCCATGGGGGGAACCCCCAAATTCATCGGGTTTTCTGGCCACGTGGAGACACCTGTTTGGGAAACAGCCCTCAATTTGAGACATCCCAACCTGAACAGCCTACCTCACCCCCCCCCCCCCCCGCCCTGCGCACCTCCTGCCAGAGCGCCGGGTTCGCGAAGCTGCCCAGACCAGTGCTCCAGGAGACGACGTCGAGATCTTCCCCGGCGCCTCTCGCTGATGAAAGAAAGGACCAAATTCAGTTCTGAGCCCTTTAGTGTTTGGTTTGGTTTTTCGGGGATTTGAACCTCTGGTCCTGCACCCTCCCACCCTCAACATCGAACCTGACAGGGATTCCCTAAAAAAAGGAACATGGTCCAAACCAGGACCCCTCCCCCTGCTCAGGTTCCACGTTCCTTGGGTGCATCCCATCCCATCCCATCCGCGCCATGCCGCTCCTCGCATCTCCTCCAGCAGGTTTTGGCACCGCAGCCACTGCGACGCCTTGGCGCAGCTGCCCAGCGCGCTGTTGCCGGTGACCAGCTCCCGCTCCAGGCCCTGCGCCGCCGCCTCGGAGTCGTGGGGAGCTTTTTCGGTCGCGAGAGGTCGTTGACCGGGACGAAACGGCGCGGGAACGGAGGGAACGGTGGTGAAGGAATTAAGTAGGGAAGCAAGAAGGAAGGTCTGAAAAAACATAATATTGAAAAGCAACTAATTTCTGGCATTCCCAACCACTCCCACTCCCCTTGTTTCCTCCAAATCAGGAATCGATAAGGCCATGCTTGAGGAACATAACCCAATCTGCAATACAGATTGGAGGATATGAACTCAAAGGAGAGGGAAACACAGTTTTGTCAACAACGGGGGAACCCAGGACCTTAAAAGGAACGAACCCCTCCGTGACTGCGACCTCTCCCTTAACCTTGGGGCTAGCGCGGTGCAACGCGCTGTTTTCAGCACTTGAGCCAAAGCAGTGATTGGATCATGCTTTGGCAACCACTTGAATGTACAACATGCAACTGACTACATGAGAACCTACCTCATGTACCTCTGGGCCATAAATGTCATCGTGATAATTGACTCCCCCCTCATTGACGGCACTGAGGGAGTGTCTTGGGCGCATTACCACGCCAACTTGAAGTCAAGTTTACACCACAAAGACTGACACAAGTTATTCAAGCATCACCCAGGCACTTTGCACACTTTTGGAAATTTTGCGGACATGCTGCAGCGCACTAGGCAGCTGCTTTAGCGGCTCTACTTTCACGAACGTCTTCAAGCTTCTCTGGAAGGTCAACACGAATGCCGAGCAACCGGATGGCATGGTCCCACTTGTTGGGTGGAAGCGCTTTCGTGAAGATGTCCGCTGACTGCATGTCGGTTTGGACGTATTCTATCGAGATGTGTTCGCTTTCAAGCTGCTCTGCGATGCACGCGAGGTTCACCTTGTGCGTTCGCTGGACACAGCGTAGCTTGGATGAGAAACCTTTTCTTGCTACGAGGATAGTCGCCTGATTGTCCTCGTGGATCTTGAGATGGAATGGTCGGTCCAAGATCAGCTCCCACAAGCTAGCGCAGGGAGCGCCTCCTGATAAAGGGAGTATGCGAGAGATACAATCTCCGCCTCGGTCGTTGATCGGGAGACCGATGTCTGCCTTTTGGATACCCACGCAAGCGGAAAATGCGTGTGCGGACCACTCAAAATCAAGAATCCTCCGGACGTGGATTTTGCTCTCGCTCTCCGGCGAAATCGGCGTCCACATAAAGAGACAGATGCAAATCCTCAGTCGAATCTTGAACTGTGCCTACTAGCGTGCTGTTGACCGTGCTGTTTATGTAGCAAACAAGCCTATGTAGCTGCTTATCGCAGTTTCTAGACCATTTTTGAACAAATGAGGCAAGGTCGCCAATGGGCTTGACCAGGTCTGGGCGTGCCAAACGGCCGAGCCATAAGGCTTTCATCAACACGCGGCAAGCAGCGAAGCCGAGCTCACCCTCCAAGGCGTCATCTGCAGGATCGAGGGATCCAGCGGGACAGAATGGAGTGGTGGCATCACGCAACTTTTCACTTTTTAGCTGTGCAACCTCAAGATACAATGCCACCGTCTGACGGGCATAATCCCGCATGTCGAACGCCATGCCCCTTTTCAATCTGCCCATTGCGGCATTAAGATCGGGTTCAGTTGGGTCCTTTGGAGCATCTATCAAAAGGTGGTTCCTGCCTAGCACCCGATATATGTCTTCTGGGGGTTCTATATCAACCAGTCTTGTTAACTTTTCCCAGAAGTCTTTATGAAGGTGGCTGGGGCCGGCCAACGTCAAGTCGTCGACGTATGTCGAGAGAAGTAACCCGGACTCCTTGAACCAGAAGTTTCCAGGAAACTCTGCGACCTCACGCCCTCCAAGTTCACTAATGAACCCTTTGAGGTGTGCCTCCCAGAGTCCGCCAGCGTCAGGATGCCCATAAAGAGCTTTAACGAGCAAAACCACAGGTTTCACGAAACGCTCGCGCCACCACCTTGGCCGGAGCTCAGGCGGGAGTGTGATCCAAGTTTGGTACTTGGACTTCAGCAGTGCTTGCACATAAGCCTTTATAGCGTCCGCTGTTGTGGTGGAATTCCCTGGCAGGGATCCATAAGCGAGACAGTTATTAAGACCTTGTACGCTCGTGGGATTTGCTCCCAACTCTTGGTAGACAGCTGCTGCGCCATGTTCGTCTTTCGCACAGTCTCCGCGATACACAATCCTACCTTTCATCTTCTGAAGGTGTTTCGCGAGTTCGGCGAACTTGACGGATGCTAGCGACATCAACTGCCCGAAATGGACTTTTATACTGGATCGTCGCGCCTCAGCAGCGACTTGATCGTACTCTCGGACTGAATTTAGATCCCAGGCACCGGCTTTCTCCAGGCCTGTGGCTTCAAGTCGAACGGCTTCAAGAGCTTCCGGGGAAGCCAACATTTCGGCACGTGACAAGAGTCTGGTCACCATTGCGGTGATCTCAGGATCCTTCTTCTCTGTGACTTGTCCTAGGGAATGTGCGATGAGATTTTCAACATCAAGAACTTGCTCAAGAATGTTGTGACACTTTTCATCTGACTCAACAGCAACACCTATATCTTCCAAACCAGAGAGAGGGGATATGTGCTTCAACTGCTGTTCACGTTCCCGGTGATCGAGAGGCAATGGCACTTGGACAGGCATCGCAGGCACAACGGGTTGAACTGTTGGATACAGCGCACGGGCAACTGTGAGACACATGCCTTCGGGGTAGAAAGCGGTCTTTGCGGTCTTGTTACCTGCTGCAAGCGAATGTTTATACCCTTTTTCGTGCGGACACTTGAATGCACCTAGTGCGGATGCGAGTGTGCTATTGCTGGTCATGACTTTCCATGGCTTCTTGATGGGATAGCCATTGCTGTCCTTCAGGCCTAGGGCGCAACCATGGAAGGTCGCTGGGGTGAAGACGTGTGCATATTCTCTAAAGAATGCGGAAACATCATCCCTAGCCCAGCTGTCGCAATCCCTTGGCCACTCAAACGAAACACTACCCCCCTGATGGAGGACAGTCTCTGCGTGACGTCTGAATCTGGAGAACAACTCTCTCGACTCTCTAACTTTTTGCTTCAGTTTCTTTTTGAACTGGCTTCCTAACTTGGCCTTATTAAGGCGTTGCCATGCTGAACCTGATGTACAGGGGATTGCGGCCCAGAGGTTGGGTTTATCACAACCTTCAATCTGCGACTGCAACTGGATTTCTCCTTCATCTGTGCTGAGGTCGATAAACTCTTTAGCCAGCCTAACATGAGGTATGCCAAGACCTTCAAACACGCGACCCATATTGGACTCTGGTGAACATGCGTATTCGAACATCACAGGCAACTTGTCAATACGCGCCTGTTTCTTGCGGGCACGATGATTTCCAACCTCAAACTGCTTGCGCTGTGGAGCTTCAACCTCTGCGCTGCATGGCATGCCGAAAATTGGCAATGTGTTCGGACGACCGTTCTTTGATGCATCGGTGAGAGGTGTCGGCGGTACGGAGTCTAACATCACGGCTGCACCTGTGGTGATAACACAATCGGACTGAATGGGTTTTAACTTGAACACTGTGAACCCGGTCCATGCATCTCCAAGTGAGCGATTGGGTCGGCTACCAAACCAACCATCATGGATGTTGTCTGCTTTGCCCCCCTGAAACACGGCACGAGTGGTGCGAGCTGCAGTAAATCTTTCTGGGGAAACGGGGCAATCCTCGACCTCTTTTGGGGTAAAGAGATTTTGCCTTGGCATGATATGGTATCGGACCAAACAGTTGGCATTTTCTTTGAACACCCAAAAATCTTCACCTTGCGATGTAGCGGCTGTCGCTGGCGCAGTATCGAAAAATGAGCCACCGGGTCTTGAGGGAGCGGGCTCCCCAGCTTCGGCTGCATCAAATTCATGCGCAACATCTTCTGCACTAACTGCGGGCTTAGGATCCTCTCCATGCTCGGATGCGTGGATTGCTCTAGCTAGCTCCTCATCCCCTTCAGTATGCACAATGGGAATGGGTTCCTTAGATTCAGTTTTGGCAGCGCTTTTTGCAGCTGCTTCAGCTCGATCTGCAGAGACAAGTTCGGAGAACCTCTTCTTGCATTCGACACTGTGAATCTTGGAATGACCGGTGCATGCACGGCAACCTGGCGTTTCCTTGAACTTGATGATCCTCTCAACAGTTATGTACACGGATTTTGGTTTGACAGCGGATGGAGTCGGTGGGGCACCAAAGGGTGCCTCTCGCAGGGGCATAGGTGGGGGATCAGACCCTTCTGTCTTGCCGCCATGCAATGCTCTATCTGCTGCTGCTGCAATCGGAAAGCTTGGGGTTCCGTCCTCAACGAACAATTCCGGTTCAGGAACATCGTGAACGGAAATGGAACCATCTTTACGGAAGGCTTCATAGTCCATGACTTTGACCACATTACGGTACCGCAACCCCGGATCGACCCTCCAACCCAAAAAGAGCGCTGGCGCCATGTTCGGATCGAGAGTGCGCTTGCCAGGAGTCTTGGTTCTGTACCAAACCAATTGCCCGAAACAGCATCTCTTCCCTTGGAACTTTTCTTTGGTGAGGGCTTCCCATTGGGTTTTCCCTGGGCTGAATGGTGCAGGCCTGTCGAACGACATGGAGAGACATGCAAATGGGTAACTAAACGTATGCAACGAATAAGGCAACCCTGATTGCATGTGGATGCTGCGGCAGCATTCCTTCTCCTCGCGAACGTCGCGCTCCAGAACGGTGTTGTGTGGCCACCTGTTCGGTAAGCTTGTCTCGGGGACGAGACCGACTTCGTGGGCCGCTCCTTCGAGCTCTCCTGCTGCATCCATTTTTACTAGACATGTTGGCGGCGAATCAGTGGCCCGAAGGCCCATGAACTGACGGAAGTTTTTGACATGCGCTTGCGTGTCCCGCCTACTCACAGGGTAGGCAAGTCGAACGCCTGAGAAAACATCACGTACTACATGGTGAGATTTGATTCCACCGAAACCTACTCCGAGGTGTTCATCGCCCATGGCAAGAATCACGG